AAAAACACTTGCGTTCTAAAGTCAAAATTGTCAAATTATTGTGATGAATCGTTGATAAATATATGGTAGATATCATATCATAAGGAAGCCGGCCTCCAGAGCTCGATGCGCCGTCAGCAAATGCAGCAGCAGCGGCAGAAGAAGCGACAGAGCAGCGGCAGCTATAGAATTTAAGGTCACAGCGACACAAGAAAAGGGACATCAACATCGATTTTTTTGCACCCCTTTTTTTTTTTTTGCGCGTGGAGCACAAACAAATTTGGCAAACAAAGAAAGAGGCGGCGGCGGTGGGGGCGTAAAGTGCGCAGATTTCAACAAAGATGAGCGGTGGCGGCGGCGGCGAGGAGGAGCAGCATCTGCCAGGTGTTTCCAGGTGAATAGCTTTGTTCACTCAAATCGCAACGCACTAATTCCGATTTCCTGCCCTCCAGTGCATCGGGATCGGCAGCTGCAACGGCAGGCGGTCGGGCCACGCCCGAAATGAAGCGCTCGGCGGTGCGCAGTCTGATCCAGCGATATTTCCACCAACTACAGTCCGGCTGCGGGAACGTCCACTGCACCAATGCCAACTGCGCCTCCAGCGGCAAGGTGGCGCCCATGACGCCCAACGAGGTGGCCGCCAGGGCACTGCAGCTCTTCTCCCAGGATGCACAGCTCTGCGAGGCATCCACCTCAGCGGCCAGCAGGTGGGAATCCTTTTCGTAGCAATTGGGTTGTGCCAAGTCGGAATTTTCCACATTTAACTTTAAAGAATTTCTAAAGGAAGTTGGAATTCTATATGTTTCAGACTTTTTGTAATCAATAAGAGTTCTTAAGTTAAGATCTTTCTGAGCCTAAGATTATTTTAACTGAAAAAGATACTTACATTCAAGAGAAAAGTCTAGATTTATCACTGAATAGTTAATCTTAAATGTTGGTTTTTTAATTTTCATGCCAACTAAATTTTGTGTATCTGTTTATGCGTCACTTTGGTTTTAATGCAATTTTGCCTAACAAGCTGAGCATTGTTTTTGGAATAACCCATTTATTGGAATTACTTTGCTGGCATAATCTAGTTATTTTATTAGCACCTGACTTGGTATTACCCCCAAATCCTATACACGTTTACTAATCCCCCGCTTAGCCCCCAGGACGTGGACATGCTGTCGCCGAACGACAGCAGTAGCAGCAGCAGCGGCAGCTCGACGAGCACCATCACCTCCGCCAGCACCACCACCACGACCAGCAGACAGTCGCAGAGTGCGCCAGCTGCCGTGGTAGTGGCGGTTTCCAGCTCAAATCTTGTCCAGAGCGTACCGCCGCTGGATCTCAGGGGCATTGAACCCTCCTCCGGCGACTCGGAGCCATGTACACCCACCCTGCCGGCAGTACAGAGCCTGGATGCCAATAGTCTGATGGCTCTTTACGAGCAATGCAGGGCGGCGGATTGTTACGACAGGCTTTGCCACGCCATCGGCGATGTCTTCTCCAGCGTGGATCGACTGAGCAAGAGCTTCATACGCAGCGCCGAACCAGCAGCATCAAGTAGTCTCCAGGAGCTGCTGGCCAATCCACCGGAGTCTTTGAACAAAGAGCAGCTACGAACTCTGGAAGGAGAACATGACAAGGACGAGGACAGTACACAGCAAGTGGAAGAGCAGGCGGCAACGGAGGAGGGACTGCCATGTGCTTCAGCAGTGGCTGAAGTAGAAACGGACGCGGAAGCGGAGCCCGAGGAAGAAGACGACGACGACGACGTGCCCATGGCTCAAACCACAGAGGCAACGACGGTGGAGGATCCGTCGCAAAGCAGCGACACGCAGGTGGATCTGCCCGGCTTACGCTGCGTACAGCGACTGCTTTTCGGCTCTCGCAAGCGAGCCATCAATGACAAGCTGACCAACAGTGTTATCCAGCTGGCGGACTGGGTGCACTATATGCGACCCGACTGGGAAAAGGTCATACACTGTCTGGTCATCTGCTTTGACCTGGCCACCAACAGTGAGTTTTTGAAATTTTTGCCCCCGTAAAGGGTTCTTTAATTTATTTTTAATGTTTTCCCCACAGCCAACAACAGTGTGGTGGACATGGACTATCTGGACAGGGTGCTGCCAAAGCTGTGTCATGCGGCGGCGGTGATGCCAGTGCAGGCACAGGCGCGTCTGGCCAGGATCTGGGCGGCCCATTGCTCGGATCAGCTTCAGGCGCTGGTGGCCGCCTGCCAGCAGCAGATCACGTTGCAGGTGCTCCTTGACGAGGAGTCAATGCGTGAGAACGGGGCCATTATCAGTGCCACCAAAGTTCTGAAGGTAAATAGTCACATTATATGGTTTGGAATGCTTAAAACCCATCGACTTTTCTCTTCAATCAGATTGTCTTCTATGCAAATGTCTTGGCCAGCGAGCTGGAACGACCATCCTGCCGGGCGCCGTTGGAAGATCGCACGGAAACGGTGGAAACCTCCGCATCGGGCAGTGTAACCGTGGAGGACGACCTGTTCGCCTACAGTTCAGTGCTGCACCCGCACATGCCCAAGTTCGCCGAGGATCAGTTGGAGAAGGCGCTACAGGTGTCGGCCATCGATTGCCGAAAACCGCTGGTGCCGCTGGAGGAGTTCTACAACGAGGCGCTCAGCGAGAACATCCAGATGCACCACGACTACCTCTCCTACAAAACACTGGCCATGGAGAGCGAGCTGGGCTCTGGCCAGACAACCTACTTTTCGTTCATGCTCTACGCCTTTATCCTCACGCCGGCGACGAAGGTTGATGCCTTGTACTACGACAGCCGGATGAGAATGTACAGCGAACGCTACTCCTCGCTCTACTCGATTCTCAACAACTTTGGCCAGGACGGTCAGGATGGCACTCCGCGGCCGGACCTTAAGTTGACGGTGCGCAGGGATCAGCTTATCAACGATGCGCTCATCGGGGTGCGTCCTCTTACTTTGGAATTATATTCCCAATATATTCTGCTTATAATTATCGTTTATTTTTGCGCAGCTGGAACTGGTGGCCATGAGCAATCCGAAGGATCTCAAGAAGCAATTGGTGGTCGAGTTTGTGGGCGAGCAGGGCATCGATGAAGGTGGCGTATCCAAAGAGTTCTTCCAGCTAATCGTGGAGGAGATTTTCAATCCGGCCTTTGGCATGTTTATACAGCAGGAGGAAACCAATAATATGTGGTAGGTGGACTTTATTTCTATAGTTTCCCAAAATATACATAAGTAATTTGTCATAATTTGCAGGTTCAATGCCACACCCTTCGAGAACGGAGCTCAATTTACACTGATAGGGATCATTATAGGTCTGGCCATCTATAACAATGTGATCCTGGCCGTTAACTTTCCCATGGTGGTCTATCGCAAGCTGATGGGCTATTGCGGAACCTTCGCGGACCTCAACGACTGGAGCCCGACGCTGTACAAGAGTCTTAAGTCCATGCTGGACTATCAGGGCCAAGATATGGAGGAGGTGTTCGACCAGACCTTCAAGATCAGCTACAGCAACGTCTTCGGGGAGATGGTGGAGCACGAGCTGGTGCCGAATGGCAAGGAGATGTTGGTGGGCCAACACAACAAGCAGCTGTTCGTGAATCTGTACAGTGACTTCCTGCTGAACACGAACATCCAGCAGCAGTTCAATGCCTTCCGCAAGGGCTTTGAAATGGTCACGGATGAGTCGCCACTGAAGCTCCTCTTCCGGCCCGAGGAAATCGAGATGCTGGTCTGCGGCAGTCGCGTAAGTAGCTCTATCTTATAAACTTGTTTACCAATTAATAATCTTATATATGCAATTTAGGAGTTCGACTTTGTGGAACTGGAGCACTCGACAGAGTACGAGGGCGGCTACACGGAGGAGACACAGATTATTCAGGATTTCTGGAGCATTGTGCATGCCATGCCCAACGAGTCGAAACGCAAGCTGCTCGAGTTCACCACAGGATCGGCGCGTGTTCCGGTGGGCGGGCTGAAGTGCCTGCGGCTACTGATCACGCGACACGGTCCGGATAGTGACCGGCTGCCTACCTCGCACACCTGCTTCAACGTGCTGCTCCTGCCCGAGTACAGCAATCGCGAAAAGCTGGAGGAGCGCCTGATGAAGGCCATCAACTACTCGAAGGGCTTCGGAATGCTGTAGAAGGTGTACTCGCCATCTCAAAGTCCAAACTCCAAGTCCAAATCCAAGTCTGTCACTGTCGGAACTGATACCACCTCTCTTTGCGATGAAGAAGGAGAAGATTTTGATGGGTTTGAGTTCGTTTTGGGTTCTGCCATTTATTTTTGATACGACCTGTTCAATGAGACAATATACATACAAATTATATATGCTCAATTTCTGGTGCGATGGCAAGCGAGCTGACCGAACGGACACGCGATTTTGTTTCCCTTTGTCGCCCAGTTAAATGTAAATACACACCACATACCGCATTATGTGCATTCACCTATGTAACACCCACATTTAAGTCGCAACCCGCTGAATATTTTCCTAAATAAATTTGAAGTTGTGCGCCGAAGTTTTTGTCATCGTAACTAAATCGCTGCCGAGGGTATTATCATGATATTAAGACAAGAATATCTGGCTTTAAAAATACACTAAATTTATACTTACAATTATTCCCTCTATTTCCAATAAAAACGTCTTCAAGTTGGGAAAACTGACCATTTTATTTTTAAACCATCAACAAACAAAGCGATTGATTTGTTTTTTTTTTGTTTTTAATAAATAGGAAAATAAATCAATAAAAAAGTTTCAAAATTCAATTTTATTTACATTTTTAGAGAGTTAAGGTTTTTTAATACCTTTTAAAAATTTTTAGTGAATAAATAAATAAATATTTCAAATGAAGCTTTTTTGAATTCAAAAACAAATGCATGCTATTTACCATAAAATAGCAAAAAGTCAAGTGGAAACAAAGTGGGAAAAGCTCATATTCTTTAACAGCTAGGTCGGAACACGTTGTGGATTTTTTAGGGTATTTGTATGTGTTTGGAAAATGTTGGATTTTTTGTACATTTCTGTTAGGCAAATCAAAACAAAAACAACTTTCGACCGCAGCGGAACTCGCCGAATTAATTCGTTTTTGATTTTCTTGCGGGCGGTTCTTTTTCGGAATCTGAAGGTGTTTGTATTTGCCAAGCATTTTTGGAAAAAATAAAATGCCACTAGTATAACGCAAGGAGTCCTATAGATAATTTCTTCCACCGTTCGCGAGTGATTGCCTGTGTGAGGGAGTGACAGAGAACAATAAGTTCCAGCATCTTTAATTAAAATGCAACAACAAAGCGCATTGTTCTTGTTGCTGCTGGCTGTGACGTCCCAAGGAGCCAGCGCCAGCGCAGACGCCGACGTCGCTGCAGCGCCGGAGTCCAATTGGAATGGTTTGTTTTTAAGTTCCAACTAGACTGAGTTCATCAGCAGACATAGAAAATTATATTGCCTTTATATGAGCGGCTTTTGAAGTGCATCCCGCACGTAGTCCCTCAATACACAGAAAGAAAAATGTATATAATATGATTGATGAACTTGCTTATCATATCATTATATTATTTTCAAAATGCTCAACTTAAATTTAAGCAAAAAAACTTGTATATTTTATCTGGATTTGCCATTGCTCAAAATTCAATGCAATATAAAATATGTAAATGTTTACTTGCATTGCGCATGTAAGTTTTACATAATTTTTTTCAGTGTATATGTCGTGTACATCTCTGAGAATTTGTTTGTTATCCCTGCAGAATCTCACTTCCCCTTGCCTTTTAAAATAGTTTTGTTTTTCATTTTGCTTTGATGCTTGCGGTTGCTTACTCTGGAATTGCCTGGAAACGGAGCAGATGCAGATTAAGTTATTCAGATGCACCTGCATCTCAAATGGAAGATCTAGAAAATTCTTCTAATTTTATTTTTCATATTTGTATAATTTACTCCCGTTTAAACCTGCTCAACATGTTGTTTTATTCATATGACCGGTTACTGTGCTCAACATTAAATAACGACTTGACAAAACAATACATATTTAATTTTTGGAATTCTATTGGCATTCAATTACCATATTTTCAGTATTTAATAAATCATATTAGGTTACTGTAGAGCTTACTTAAGGCAAACAAAATAAATGATCATTCATATATCGTATGATAAGGATTGGTACGAATTTATACATATTTTATCACAAAAGTTTACATTTCAAAGAGCGTGCACAAGTTGTATTTAAGTTATAAAATATTACTTACGACATTTCTTGTTATAAATATACGACTATTATGAATAATTCTACAGATATACCATCTAAAAATTGCAAATATTTTGTTTTCTCCGTATTCCACAGATAGAGTCAAAGTGTTCACTGTGGCCACTGAACCCACCGATGGCTATGCCCGATACTATCGATCTTTACGCGTCTACGACATCGAGGTGAGACCCACATTAAGTGCTAAATTCTTATTAATTAGAACAATCTAAAATCAAGACACGATGTCTTTAACCTAGATATCTTTAATCTTTGATGTGGTATTTTGTGGTTTAGCAAAGAATCGTCCAAAAAGTTATATTTAGTTAGAGGGTGAAATTGATTATCTGATAAATTGTTAACTCTATTTTAAACATGTTTTTATGCACCAACGAAGACTTAAAAAAATATTTTAAAATCAGTTATATAAAACCAATTAGGTCAGCATCTCAAATATCTATAAAAATAAATACAAATTCAGCATATCAAATACAGTTAGGTATTTTTCATGGAAAAAATTTGCAAACTTTTATGGATTCAGGAACATTTGTGGCCAACCATTTATATGCAAATATGAGTTGATTGTTTTTATTGATGAATTTCTAATTTGACGTCTCCCAGACAAAAACTAGTATATAAACAAGATCATAAGTGTAAGATAGATAAGAACTGAAAGCTAGTATATGGATGATGTGTGTTTTTGTGTTCTTTTAAAGACTCCCGAGACTTGTTCATCGGCTTGGCACACTTAAGCAACATTGTATTGTTTAAATGTCTGGTTAGTATATAGTGGGTATATGTATGTATATCTGTAAATGTATGCCGCTCGCCGAGCATCCGGCGTTGTCGACCGATTTTGTGATGTGGAACACCGAGATTGGCTGGACATTGTGGGGCAACGGCAACATATAGTGAACATATAGTGCACAGATGTTGAAATCACGTAGTCCAGACGGTTTTCGGTGCAGTTGCCGGGGGTAATTAGCACTATACTATTCTGTTTTGGTTCTCGGTCTGTCTGTTGATAGCTTAGAACTTTCTACACCAAATCGGTGGGAGATTTCGCTTATCAAGTCCAGAATATGTGACACTTTACCATTTGTCGGCCGGCTCAGAGCTCAGAATCATTTCGATTCAAAAACGAATGCTCGACAACAAAATGTGCTGATAAGTTTGCTTTGCCGGCATTTTTTTTATGAGCTGAAGCTGATCTCTCCCCTTTGTTTTGATTTTGTTGTTCCTTTTTGGATTTAGAGAACTGTGCGACCAAAGTTATTTGATCCCGGAGAGTAAGCTTAATTAATTATTTTGGGGTTGTGCTTTTCAGATATTTATTTATCAGAACAAATATTAAAACAATTCTCTATTAGCCGATTATTTTTATTTTTAGTTATTATTGTTAAATTGTTTGCTAAGTTATATGTTTTATTAAATTGTGAAATAATTTAATGATGATAAATAGTATTAAATTATACTTTGTAGTTTTTAGTATTAAAATGACACAATAAAGGCAGTTAATTATTGTGAAATACAAACAAACCACAGTCGTAGATTTAACTTACTACTAAAATATCAACCGCTTCATAATTTTATTGATAACAACCTGCTTCAATACTTTCTCGTTATGCTGTTTGATAATCCAGTTTGCCTTTAGAGATAATGATTAATATTATTATAATAATTTAATCTGAAACAGGGAACTACTCTCGGTCTCGGACAAGAATGGAAAGGGGGAGATATGCAAAAACCCGGCGGAGGTTTTAAGCTCAATCTTCTGCGCGAAGCCATTGCGCCCTACAAAAATGATCCTGAAATAATAATACTCTTCACAGACAGGTGAGTTTTATAAATGAAAAAATGTAGCAATATTTACTGAACAAATGAAATTTTTTAGCTATGATGTTATCATCACTGCAACGCTGGAAGAGATTGCGGAAAAGTTCAAGGAATCGGGGGCCAAGGTGCTTTTTTCAGCCGAGAAATTCTGTTGGCCCGATAAAAGTCTGACCGATGATTATCCTGAGGTGGAGGGCAAGGCCTCCCGATTCCTCAACTCGGGAGCCTTTATTGGCTATGCACCAGAGGTTTATGCCCTACTGGAGGATCCCATTGAGGACACTGCCGACGATCAGCTGTACTTCACCAAGATATTCCTTGACGAGGCCAAACGCAGCAAGTTAGGCATTAAGTTGGACACACAATCCCGGCTATTCCAAAACCTTCATGGGGCCAAGAACGATGTGAAGCTTAAAGTGGATCTCGATAGCAATCAAGGTGTCCTGCAGAATGTGGATTTCATGACCACTCCGGTTATTATACATGGAAACGGACTGAGCAAGGTGGATCTCAATGCATACGGCAATTATTTGGCCAGAACCTTCAATGGCGTTTGCCTGTTTTGCCAGGAAAATCTATTGGACTTGGATGTGAGTGATTTCCAGTTTGTTCATGCAAGTTCATTAAGTTTAAGTTTCATTATATTTTTAAGGAGAAAAATCTTCCTGTGATTTCTTTGGCTCTCATGGTCACACAAGCCGTGCCATTCTTCGATCAGTTCCTCGAAGGCATCGAGAAGCTAAACTATCCCAAAGAAAAGCTGCACTTGCTCATCTACAGCAACGTTCCTTTCCACGACGATGACAGCAGGTCCTTTGTGAACAAACACGGTGATAAGTATGCAACTGCCAAGTACACGCTTTCTACGGATGAATTGGACGAGCGCCAAGGCAGGCAGTTGGCTCTGTAAGTCTTTAACGTGTGCCTTATTGGCTTTAGCATATATTAATTAATTTAAGTTACTCATTAGCTGACACTAAGAACTCCTTTTCAAAGATTTTACCATCTAAAAATGTATTTTATATTACTTTTAATGAATAGCAAAAAGCTTAAGTTAGAAACAGATTTGTTTTAAATGTCTTATATAAAATTGATGATATATATTTTTATTGAAAAGATAAACTATGTCCTAAAAATAAATAAGGTTCTAATATCTGCTGACTTTCCAGGGACAAGGCTCGACTCCACCACAGCGACTACATATTCTATGTGGACGCAGATGCGCACATCGACGACAGTGAGGTGCTCCGGGAGCTGCTCAGACTGAACAAGTGGGTCAAAGCTTCTGTAGCCCGATATTTCCAAAATAATAATTATCCACTTCCAGGCAATTCGTCGCACCGCTTTTCACCAAACACGACGAGTTATGGAGCAACTTCTGGGGCGCCCTTTCCGACGGAGGTTACTATGCCAGGTCGCACGACTACGTGGACATTGTAAAGGGCGACTTGATGTAAGTAAAAAAATATCTGATCTACCCTGGTTACTTTGTTTCCTACTTGTAGGGCTTGGGTTTTTTTTGTAGAGAATTATTTATTATATAATGATCCCACATTTATTTTGATGTATTACAATACGACAATAACTTTATTACAACAAAAAAACTAGCTCATACAATAATTGTTTGCAAGCCCTTATGTTATGCAAATTATTGTATATTTTTATATAACGATTCTTTAAAATTGACTTTACAAATTTACGGACAACAAAATGTTCTGTACATTTTCTTTTTATTAATTGATAGATGACTTTTGAAACTATATTTCAAAATTAAAAAAAAAGCTTAGTTTGGCTTCGAATAATTTGCTAAAATCATTTGCCAATTGTAGTAAATCTCTTGAACAAAACATAGGGACTCAAAATAGACACAAAATAGAGTCGATCAGTCGAAGGCAATGGAGAAATCTGTCTTGAAACTGCGCCGATCGATGGAGTACATGTTGTCGGCAGTGCACTCGTAGAGTCCGGCGTCCATCTGGGTGGCAGGGTCAATCTCAATCTTCGACTTGACCTTGTCGTCGCCGATGCGCCATTCGTGGACATGCATGTACAGATGCTGATAGATCTCCGCCCCGTCCTTGTACCAGGTGATGTGTGGGCGTGGATTGCCCTTGGCCACGCACAAGAAGGCTATCTTGTGGCCCAAAACGTACTCGAGGTCAAAGTGCGAGGCTTGCAGGATTTTGGCGCCCTAAGAAAGGCAAAAATTGCAAAACATGAAGTTACAAAACGAAATAACTTTTAATCTCACGTTTTCCAACTCCGACTACTTACATTATTGTTGTTGTAATACTGATCCGACTCCGGATCACGATATTTTCCCGTAATTGGCAGACCGATCTGCACCCTGGACTTGGTTCGTCCACGGCCACGCCCTCGTCGCGCCTCGCAAATGGGCGTGACCAGCATGAGCAGCCCCAAAGCGAGGCAGATGATCAGGCACTTGACCTGCATGACTCTCCGGAAAAATGGATACAGTGCTGGCGGAGATCGCGATCGCTTTGCTGCTGCTGGTGGCGGTGCTGTGCGAATCTCGTTTGGTGACTGATCCACTCGGTTAGACTCTGCACCACACTGCTCATCCTCATCTCATCTCATTTCATCTCATCTCATCTAATTTGCCACAATTGTCCGGCGGATTTAATCCGTTTCGGTTGCTCTCGAAATTCGCCGCTCGCAGCTTTTTGTTCTGGGTTGGCTTTCTCATCGCCGCATTTCCATATTTCACTCAATTTCCCAGCTTGATTTGATTTGGACGCTTGCTGATATCGCTCGCCATAGAAGCTCATGGCACCCCTTTCCACATGTCTTGCTGGGATTCGGTCTAGTTTACAGTGGTGACAGGTTCAAACAACTTGACTTCAATTTTAGTTTTGAATAAGTTTTTTTTTAAATATTTTTTCAGCAGTAATTTTTTTTTAAGGTACACTTTTAAACACTAGTTTTAAAGGTGGTAAATAAATGCAGCCAATTAGTATTTAGCAGTTGCGATATTTAAATTGAATTGGCTTTTGATATTTTTTTGGCTGTAGAACATTTTATTTTATAACGTCAATTCTATTTACCAAAATTATTGATTTTGTTTCCATTTTATTTTATTTAAATTTATATGAAATTTTTAAAAGGTAGAATTGCCTTTTAATACATAAAAAATTACGTATCTATTAGCTACAAATATATTTTATATATATAACTAAGAAACTTTAACCTACAAATTATATTATATTTCGAATCCTTGCTACTTTTCTATTGATTTCTTTAACGTTTTGACCCACTGTACTTTATTGAAGGCTAGGGACCACTCAACACTTTAGAACCAAAAAGCCTCGGTTTGTTTGGTTTGCTTTCACACATTTTAATAAAATAAATGCAAAAAAATCATTTGAATTGGGTAATTGAGTCAATTTGTCGGCTTTGTGCACACAAACGTACTTTGGCACTCACAGACACCTACACAGATTCACACATTTACGACGAAAGGTCAGACTCAAATAGATATAAAATATTCATAATGCGAGACGAAAAAATGTATTTTTAAATATTTTTTGTTTAAATGTATGCTTTAAAGAATTTAATAGTCAAGTTTTACAGAGTCATAAAATTCAAAAGTATCCAAAACAGGTAACAAGTTGTAAACTTGGCTCAAAAGTTAACCATAACATAATCCGTGCGAAAACCTCGACGATCGATGGCGTAAATGTTGTCCGCTTGACATTCGTAGAACCCTGAAACAAAAATTTACATTTATAGAAAAAATTAATTTTAAAGTTTTAAAAGTCTTCTTAAACATTTGACTTACCAGCATCCATTTGCGTGGTTGGATCAATTTCCATTTTAGACTTAACGATGTTTGTCTCTATATGAGATTCATGTACCTGGATAAACAAAGATTATAAAATCATATTATATTTACGAAAGAAAATATATTTGTCATTACCTGAAAGAATCGGTGCTGGTAAAGTTCCGCTCCATCCTTAAACCAGGTGATAGTTGGTCGTGGGTTGCCTAAAAAAAGGCAAAAAACAAGATATAAATAATTGATTTTAGAAATAAAAGCTTTTTATTCCAACCTTGAGCCATGCAGAAGAAGGTTATTTTGCGTCCCAGGGTATAGTCCAATTCGAAATGCGATGACTTTATGATCTTAGCTCCCTGTAAAACATTAAATATAAATCTTAAGAGCTGTAATTTATCGTTGGCTCACTTACATTTTCATGATCATAATAGTTTACGGCATCCTGTGATCGATGTTGTATGACCACGGGTTTTTTACCCGTATAGTTTCGACGCTCCGTTTTTCCCGCCGTACTTCCTGTGATGACATTCGAATTTTAGCTACTAACGATATTTTTGTGCGTTTGGATCACTCACTTTGGGCTGCTATATAGATGAGATCGCCAAATATCAAGTAGCAGAGGCATAGGAGTACGATCCGATCGAGCTTCCAGATGCCACGAGGCATTATTGTCGAGCCGTGATTTCGATCGCCTGCGGTGAATGTTGTTTTCAAACTGCGCTCCCGACATCTGAGCAAAACGCCATCCACTCTGTTCTAATATGCGGATTTTGATTGAGTTAAGTGGATTTCTGTGGGGTGCTGGGGCTTCTGTGTCGGTGCGACGTCACTTTCCATTTTCGCCACATTGTTGCAAATCCGTTGATTCTACCCTCGTCTATTATTCTACCCTCGTCTTTATCGCTCGCTATGTTTTGGCTATGTCATTCATCACTTTTATTTTTCTCCATTTGCAGTGGAATCTTTAACGTGCCCCATGTCACGAGCATTTATCTGGTTAAAAACACTGCCTTCGATGCCATCACTTTCAAGGATAAAGAGTTTGATCCCGACATGGCCATGTGCCAGTCACTTCGAAATGCGGTAAGTTAAAAGATTTTAAAAACTATGAAAACTAAACTATCAGTAAAAAATCTCAAGTTTCTAAATTGAAAATGATGATGAATTAAAAAAAATACACATTAAAAATAAGAGTATAAAAAATGCTTAAAAAAGTTATTTAGGATTTGTCAAAATATCTTTAAAAATTGTATTATTTAAAAACTTTTGCTTTATGAAAATTTCTCGATTGGTAAACATTTCTTTTCAAAAACCTTGGTTTAAATACATTTAGTAATATTGCAATCATTATTTTATTGTTATGAAGCAAACGTGCCATGTTAAATTAAGTTACTAACTATGAATGTGTCTATGCTTCTCCTCAGGGTGTCTTCATGTATATTAGCAATGTGCGGTACTTCGGTCACTTGGTCAACGCCGATTACTTCAATAGTACCGTGACACGTCCGGATTTCCATACACTGTTTAGCAACCGGCGCGATTGGGCGGAGAAGTACATACACCCGAACTACTCGCTTCAGCTGAACGAAAGCTACCAGATACCGCAGCCGTGTACGGATGTCTACTGGTTCCAGATCGTGACGGACGCGTTCTGCGACGACTTGGTGGCCATCATGGAGGCGCACAACACCTGGTCAGATGGCAGCAATAGCGACAGCCGTCTGGAAGGCGGATACGAGGCAGTGCCCACGCGGGACATCCACATGAAGCAGGTGGGATTGGATCAGCTCTATCTCAAGTTCCTCCAGATGTACGTGCGTCCGCTGCAGGAGCGCGTCTTCACCGGTTACTTTCACAATGTAAGTTACTGTTTATGATTAATACCATTGAAAAAAAAGTTAACTTAAAAATGTTGTAATTCTTTTGTTCTAAATGTTACAATACAAAAATAAATTATCTTCCAAAGAATTAGGATATACAACTTCTTATACAAATTGCTTATCTAAGTTAAATATTACCTTTTGATCTGAAACTTAAAAAATCCTTCTTCAGCTAAATTTTATTTGAAAAAGAATTCAAATTTAAAAAGTTTCTTTAACACTAAGATGCCTACTTATTTATGATTTTAATCTAAGCTGTATTCTTATTATACATAGAATATTTAAATTAAGTAACAATTTAGAAAAAGAAACCTTTGTTAATCTGATCTATTGTGTTCTTTAGCCGCCTCGCTCCTTGATGAACTTCATGGTACGCTATCGGCCGGATGAGCAGCCTTCACTGCGACCCCACCACGACTCCTCCACGTACACCATCAACATCGCGATGAACCGGGCAGGCATCGACTACGAGGGAGGTGGCTGTCGATTCATAAGATACAACTGCTCCGTGACGAATACTAGAAAGGGTTGGATGCTTATGCACCCGGGTCGATTGACTCACTACCACGAGGGACTACTCGTGACCAACGGCACCCGCTACATAATGATTTCCTTTATCGATCCGTAGGGGAAATACTAGAAATAATACTCTTTATCAAACTGCCATATCGGCCACTCCAAAGAACTGCATCTTAGCCCAATGAACGATTTGTGCCGATGGAATTGCTACATCGGCCTCGGGCCTTAAGTTTCTGATGATTTTATATACATACTACTTTGAGATCGACAGCTTTATGGTCCCTCGATGAATCTGTTACAGCCTTAAGTTAACTGTAAGTTTTTTTACCAAGTGCAAAGTGTTCAATGTTTGACTAAATAAATTAATTCGTGTATTAATTGATTTAAATATTGTTTTTTCTGGGGTGTAAAAAATTAGTAATGCTTTAATCAAAGGTAAACATGTGCCTTTAATAATACATTTTATTTAGTTAAATTCAATTCGGTTGTTATGGTTCGTAATTTATTTAAATTTAGAAAAATGAATGCTATTTATATTTTACAAATTCTGTTTAAACTTTGTTATTAAGACCAAATATAGTAAACTTTTTTTGATTATTTTTTAACCGGCTTAAATCTTAACAAGTTAAAATCTTTTTATTTTTCTTTCTTACAACCCTACATTTGATCACCATTAAAATTAAGAAATGCTCCACAGTGCCTCTGTTAACTTAATGATGTTTATAAGAACTCTGTTATATCAGCTGGCCCACGCAAGCAGGATAGCAATACTAACCTTGCGGCCGCCCACGCAAGCAACAGTAACGTGCTGTTGCTTACAGACATCTGTTGTTATCTACAGCATAAAACAGCCACTTTACAGATCATACTGCACAGTGGGAAACCAAATTTTAAGAGAAAGTAAAGTATTCACTTGTAAGATACGAAATCAAGTGATAGGGTCAATTAAAATTGATTAATTTTGAATATATAAAAATCGTTATTATTTCTTTACTTAGTTAACCACCGTTCTAGAAAAAAAATAAAAAGTTTTCTATATGAGCTATGAAGACTTATAATGACACAAAAAATATGTTAAATTAAAATATGCTTAAACAACTAATTAATTTTAATTGTAAGATATTTTTTTTTAGAAATATAAATTAGAAGTGAATTTTTGTTTGTGACTTTCTCGTATGTTTTGAAAACACAAAATCGATGGTGGTCTAACCACTGTACACCATTGTTGCATCGAACCTAAGGCTTCAAACCTGCGAGAGTTCGAATGTAAGAAAAATGTATTTAAGCGCTTTGCAAAGCACGCTCTTTGTTATTGCTCGATTTTCCTTCGCGAAGCTAAGCTGGTTCGGTTCGTTTCTTCTTCGAAAATAAATAGAAGTATCAACAAAAATGTAGACATTGGCCTTAAGGCCAACAAATATTAATCCGAAATAATCATATTTGTTTGGAGATGTTTAAACACAAATTGTGGAATATTTAAAAGTGAGCACCTTGATTTGCAGACTTCTTGTGCGGGTGTGCGGTATATTTACAGTTAGTTGCGCAAAGTGCGTGTTTAAAAATAGCAAAAAAAGACGCTGGAGATGAAAACCGAAATAAATAAGGAGAGGAATAAATAAGTGCCAAAGAGAAATGTAAATTAAACGGGTCAATTTAAAAAGCCGCATCCTGGAAAATTGTCTGTGTTGGTGTTTGGTGCGTGTGTGTGTGAAATAAACAAAAAGGCGAAAGTTTCCTGGCTCTCTCTCTCTCGCTCTTTGAGACGCTTTTTGTTTCGCTCTCTCTCTCTCTCTCTCGCAGGACGAATTTCATTCGATTTTTCTTCCGCATGCTTTTCCTGTTTCAATTCCCTACATTTTTTTTTTATTACTCTATTTACACTTGGCGAGTCCTTTTTCCATGTGTGTGTGTGTTTGTGTTTCTCCTCACACCTGCTGTTTTTGTTGTTTTTGGTTTCAGCCGCTCCTGTTGGCCAAGTTTTTTTGTTGTTGCTTTGGCAACCATTAAAAACAAAAACAACAAATGCAGCCCACACACACAGACAGACATAAGGGCAGTTTAATTTAAAACATATTTGCTATTTAAAATATAAGAAGAAAAGCCCAGCCAGACAGTCTGGAAAATCTAGAGAAAAACAAATTTAAGCCGGCACTAAAAACCGAAAGTGGCTGCATCCTCGATTTTGATGAGCAGCCAACAGAGATTTCCGGTACCCAGCCAAATGGCGAGGCGGAGTTCCACGCTCCAGGTGAGTGCTACCACCCCTTTCCTATACCACCGAACACGGAGAAAAAACATTTCCGCTTTAGTACCCAAATTGATAAGTAACTTTCTTCATGCGTCTCTCTATAATTAGAAATTATCACCAAAAATGTGTTAAAAGTACATGACTTCTTATAATGAAATGTAGTCGGAAATGCTATTTTATCATAAAAAATGAAAGTGTTTTTGTTTTTTAGGTGATTTGTACTTACATACTTCTAATGAATTCCATGCACATAAATATGTGAAACATTACCGAGCATTATTCCTAAAATTATAAAGTACATTTTAACAGGGTTTTAAGAACAATCAAATTTTAAAGGGGTTCAAATACTTTTTCGGTTGTTAAGTATCAGCTTTTATTTAAAATGCTTTGTAACAAACACTAGAATGTCTAACTAAAAAGTTAAACTATAATTAAATCCATTAAGCTATCAAATTAAAATTTTGTAATGAACGTCTTTTTTTATGATCAATTTATTGTTATAGTATTGAAAACCACTGAACTTCTATTTATATTACATTTGGAACAAGATATTGTGTTATTCTTTTAGATGAGTAGAGTTTTTCTCTGTGGAGGAGTTCGCATGTGTATGCGAATTGCTTGCTATTTTCTATTAGCGGGTGCTGGATTTTCCTTCATCGTCGCCGTGAGCAGCTGCTAATGGCTTGTGAAAAAAGCAAACGAAACGGAGCGAAAAGGGGCGCCAAGGTAATGGAAAAGTTGGAGGAGTTTAGAAGACGGCGGGAAACACATAGGGAATAGGGAAAACGGCTAAGCATGTGTGAAACTTCCTGACAATGGGAAAACATATGGTGGCATTCGAGCGCTTCAAATTGGTGAACGCAAGTTTTCACACTTGATTTTATACCTCATCAATTTATAAAACATTTAAATGTTGTTCATTTAAATAGTTTAAATTATTTTCACAGCTTTTATGGAAATCAAACTTTTTAATAGGTCATTTGCCGAAAATATTTTAATATATAATATAATATAAATTCCCCCATAAGTCAATAAGTCAACTGTCAATATACAAGTATTTAACCCAATTAAATCTGTTAAATTATCATTGAGGTGAAATGTTAATGGATGTATATAAAACTAGGTGAAGGTTATAGCTTGTGGTATAACTTGTTTCCTTTTACCTCTACTTTTTTCTAATTACCCAGCATTCATATTTTAAGAGTACTTAAAGTATGCTTAAAGTTGCTAGTTATTAGTATTTGGGTATTGCTGAATGTTTTGAAATGTTAATTTCTTGTGTATACATATGTCAGAAACATTGTCGAGATGCTTCGCTTTAGACAATTTTTTTCATTTTTAGACGCAAACAACTCAGAATATCGGTTACATATGTTGAAGCTGCTAAAAATGTTTAAATTGTTTAGTTTTTTTGACCCACTGGTATAAATACTTTTCGTTATTTGTCAACTGCTGGCCACTCGTCAGTTTGATGACCCAGAGCAAGAATCTGTCGCTTAAAATGTCGTTGCCTTTGGGAGAGGACTTCTTTATAGAGCCAGAGCCTTAAATCAAATTTACATCCCAGCAATCATCGTAAAAGAAAGCAGCTGAGCTGGCCCCAGGCAGGTGGATATGTGTGCACCTCCTTGCAAACATCTCCTAGTAGACACATATGCAAATGATGGCCCAGTGCCCCCTTCCCCCTGCCCGGTTCCCCCCTACCCCCTTCTCCACTCCCATGTGCGTGCGTGCGAAATCTGCGAGCTGAGGCAAAATGATTAACAAAGGCTCCCTGAGGTGCGGCAAAAAGGGAGGGTTTTACAGGGAGTGGGTGGGGATTTGTACTAGCCGTGCACTAAAAAAATTAAAATTAAATTAAAATTAAAAACCATTTCAAAACCTCCCTTCACCATTTATTAATTATATAATATTTTTGCAAGCCTTAACTATACAATATAAAAAAAAAGTCTTGAAATAAGCCCAAAAAATTTTTTTTTAATGAGCAAATGTCTTGCCTAAGTCAACATATTAAGGACTAAACACTATTTTCTAAGTGTAGCCACATGAGGAATTACATCCATCGTCAGTGACACGGACATCGACTGAGAGGGGACATAGGGACAGACCCCGGCTCGCCCCCTAGGGACAGGCGCAGTGCGGCTGACAAAACGGGGCCCAGCACAGACCACCCACCACTGCCACGCCCCCCTTTGCCTCCCACTGCCGCCCGTGTCCTGGTTAATGACATTTGAGAGAGGAGCGGGACCGAAGGGTTCCCCGCCGGGGACTCAGGCGGACCGAGTAATTTGTGTCACGTTTTAATTTTTGACGCCGCAAAGGACGTTCAAGTGTCTCCCCTCGTGATTATGACAATTAGGATTCCGTTGGAATCCTGCTCGGTTATTTTGTTTCGTTTCGCGTATTTAAAAAGGTTTATTGTGTAAGGCCCGCCGGGGGAGCTTTTGTCCAACTTATGTTTGTGTTTCATGTAGCTGGGAATTAAATCTAATCACTTTTAAATCCCAAACACCATATGGTAGTTTTAATTAGTGAAAGCTACAAGTGTTTAGCAGCCCCTTGGGCATTGTATTCAATATCAAAGAAAATAATTAATCTGATTATGTATATAATGGAAATTGGAACACCAAACCATCTTCAACTAATAGCAATTAAATGGATAGTACAATAACTAATGGATTAACTAAACATTAATTTAAATTGTTTTTTAAATTCATTTATTTTAATACGAACTGCTTTAATATAAAATTCATTAAGCACACCTTTTTGCAGACATTTATCGTCCATCAATCGATTGGACTGCTTTTTAACGAGCAGAACAAATTTTTATAAACACATTAAAAATATGCCATCGCGCAGTAATTGGATAGATTTGCATATCAATCAATTTGGGGCGTAATTGCCATTTTAATATTCATTATGCTGCTCTGGACGTAGGGTGCTTCACTCAACCGGAATGCGTCAGCAGAAAGTCCGCAGCCATTAGCTGTGATTTCTCTTCAGATCTCTTCTTCTGAAACGCACTTCAGAAATGAAAATCCCTTCCTCACCGGACTGGCAACTGCAAATGTCCTGCGTGCTTCGTCCTGACAGGTAGCTTAAAAAAATTGCTAAAGAAATTTGAGCATGGCTTTCTAAAATTACTATGCAGCGGGGGTCCTATTTTATGGGCTTGAAAAAATCGTATACATTTGTTAAACAAACTTAACCTATATTTAACAAGAAAAATGGCCCAGCCATTTTAAATGCTTAATTCGCATATGCTTACATAAATATATATATTATTTAGTATTTTAAAATTCGTATTTAAAATACGTCCGAACATACATCCTTACATAATGTATTCCAAAACATTTGATGAATACACATAAACTTAAAGCCTAAGTATTCGTGCTAAATAAATAAATGTGAAAAAACTTAAAAAACTAAGTATTATTTAAATAATATTTAATATAACTGCACTCTTACATCCTTGCATCGAAGGGCAATTTCAATTTCCAGTCTCAAATTCAATTGAACTTAAGTGGCATTTCCTATCCAGTTACCGCCATTATTATTGAGAACCCCTCGGAAATGTCATAGGCATGGCTTGCATTTTCCCATCCCCTTTTCCCGCTTTCCTTGAACTCCCTGCCCATTTACATCGCCTGGGCTGCGCGGCTTCCTCAGTTTTTTGCCAGAGGCCTCAAGGAAACCAACAACTGCGTAAACAGAAGCAGACAGGAGCGACAAGAAGCGGACAGGACATTAACAAGAGGAGCACCAGGATGGTGGTGGAGAGGGCGAAAGGACTTCACTTCAGTCAATTTGACAAACATGACACAGAAACGAAAACGAGATCGCCTCATGGCCCACTGCCTTTTGCACGGAAAAAAAATGTTTACAAGTTTGCCGTTAAGTTTCGTTAGTTTGCTAGATAGTTCTTATAAAGTGACAAAACATTAAGTTTTAAATTGTTATAAAAGACTTTGGAATAATTTTGAATTAAATATAAAATGTAGAAATATAAATAGAAATTTTAAATTAAAACACATATTTTTGGAATATTTTTGGCAATTGAAAACTTTGTAATAAGTAGGCAAAAAGAACAGCAAAGAATTTTTTCTTTTAGATTTAAGTTTTGTTTACTTTTTTCTCAATGTTTTGCCGGTGACTGGCAATTTGGCGAAGCAGTTTCTCTAATGGACACTCAGACGCAGCTGCAAGGCATCTTCCTTGGAGGAGCGAGATGGGCAGATAGAGCTGGCAATTAAATTTTTAAAATGCCATTTCAAAAGCAATTTCGAACGGCAGTGCAAATTAAAAATGCCAACAGTGCGTGCCTCTGTGTATGTTTGCTGGGAAATAGAGGAAACCAGAGCGTGAAAAAGGATCCTTGGGGGCAGGGAAAAAGCGGCGGCAGGACAGCAACATTTTCGCAAATAAACGTAAATTGAATTTGCGGCCAAGAATGGCAAGTTTTGTGCGGCCGACCAGCACAAAATCACCCAAAAGAGAAACAAACTGAAAAGAAAGTTTTTTACAAGTTTTTGTTTGTGCTTTTTTTTGTGTGTCATCATCGAGGAAATCCGGCGCCAAGTGCCGGCGCCTCTGCGGCTACTTTTTCTTTTCCGCCAACTCATGTGATTTTCCCAATTTTTTTCCCCACTTTTGCCTCACCCACATCCTGAAATGCGCTTTTTCCTATGTTTTGCTTGCGACTTTCGCAGCTCAGCTGTTGTCACCTCCCCCTGGAAAATGCAATTTTAACTCCCTTGAACTCTTGTTCTCTTTTCGACTTTTATTGGGCCCGCATTGCCATTTCTCACATTGTTTTCAGGCCCTTCCTTGTAATTTAATTGGCAATTTGGACAGTCTTTCACTTTCCTCCTCCTTTGGCCAAAAACCATGAACTTCGCTCAAGTCTGGTGCAATCTCGACTTGACCAAAACCAAATGAAAACAATGTTTTTATTCGTTTTCCCTTTGGCACTTTGAGCAAGAATGAAATCTTGTCTAAAC